CGACGCCGACGCCGACGACGACGACGACGAAGACGACGATTTCTGGCGCCAACGATGACGGCGACGCTGACACGACGACTACGACGACGACACGCGACGGCGACGGCGACGGCGACGGCGACGGCGACAACGACGTCAACAACGACGCGACGCCTACGCCGACGCCGACGCCGACGACGCCGACGCCGACAAACGACGACGACGACGACGATGACGACGACGCCGCCGACGCCGACGCCGACGCCGACGCCGACGCCCCGCAGGCCGACGCCGACGCCGACGCCGACGACGACGACGATTCCGACGCCAACTATGACGGCGACGCTGACAACGACGACGACGACGACGGCGACGGCGACGGCGACGGCGACGGCGACGGCGCCGACGACGACGACGTCAACGACGAAGACGCCTACGCCGACGCCGACGCCGACGACGCCGACGCCGACGAAGCCGAGGACGACGACGATGACGACGACGCCGCCGACGCCGACGCCAACGACGACGACGATTCCGGCGCCAACGATGACGGCGACGCTGACAACGACGACGACGATGGCGACCACGACGGCGACGGCGACGGCGACGGCGCCGACGATGACGACGTTAACGACGAAGACGCCTACGCCTACGCCGACGCCGACGACGCCGACGCCGACGACGCCGAGGACGACGATGACGACGCCGCCGACGACGACGACGACGCCGACGACGACGACGACGCCGACGCCGACGCCGACGACGACGACGGCGACGACGATTCTGGCGCCAACGATGGCGGCGACGCTGACAACGACGACGACGACGGCGACGGCGACGGCGACGGCGACGGCGCCGACGACGACGACGTCAACGACGAAGACGCCTACGCCGACGCCGACGCCGACGACGCCGACGCCGACGACGCCGAGGACGACGACGATGACGACGACGCCGCCGACACCGATGCCGACGCCGACGCCGACGCCGCCGACTCCGACGCCGACGCCGACGATAACGACGACGATTCCGGCGCCAACGATGACGGCGACGCTGACAACGACCACGACGACGCCGACGACGCCGAGGACGACGACGATGACGACGACGCCGCCGACGACGACGCCGACGCCGACAACGACGACGACGACGACGCCGCCGCCGACGACGACGACGACGGCGACGACGATTCTGGCGCCAACGATGACGGCGACGCTGACAACGATGACGACGACGACGACGACGGCGACGGCGACGGCGACGGCGCCGACGACGACGACGTCAACGACGTAGACGCCTACTCCGACGCCGACGCCGACGACGCCGACGCCGACGACGCCGAGGACGACGACGATGACGACGACGCCGCCGACGACGACGCCGACGCCGACGCCGACGCCGCCGACGCCGACGCCGACGCCGACGACGACGACGATTCTGGCGCCAACGATGACGGCGACGCTGACAACGACGACGACGACGCCGACGACGCCGAGGACGACGATGACGACGACGCCCCCTACGCACGACGACGCCGACAACGACGACGACGCTGACGCCGACGCCAACGACGACGACCATTCCGGCGCCAACGATGACGGCGACGCTGACAACGACGACGATGACGACGACGACGACGGCGACGGTGACGGCGACGGCGCCGACGACAACGACGTCAACGACGAAGACTCCTACGCCGACGCCGACGCCGACGACGCCGACGCCGACGACGCCGAGGACGACGACGATGACGACGACGCCGCCGACGCCGACGCCGACGCCGACGCCGACGCCGCCGACGCCGACGGCGACGGCGACGGCGCCGACGACGACGCCGACGATTCTGGCGCCAGGGATGACGCCTACGCTGACAACGACGACGACGACGCCGACGTCGCCGAGGACGACGACGACGACGTCGACGCCGCCGACGACGACGACGACGCCGACAACGACGACGACGACGACGCCGATGCCGACGCCGACGACGACGACGACGCCGCCGACGCCAACTATGACGGCGACGCTGACAACGACGACGACGACGACGGCGACGGCGACGGCGACGGCGACGGCGCCGACGACGACGACGTCAACGACGAAGACGCCGACGCCGACGCCGACGCCGACGACGCCGACGCCGACGACGCCCAGGACCTCGACGATGACGACGACGCCGCCGACGACGACGATGACGCCGACAACGACGACGACGACGACGACGCCGACGCCGACGACGGGACGACGATTCAGGGCGCAACGATGACGGCGACGCTGACAACGACGACGACGACGAACGACGACGGCGACCACGACGACGACGACGTCAACGACGAAGACGCCTACGCCGACGCCGACGCCGACGACGCCGACGCCGACGACGCCGAGGACGACGACGATGACGACGACGCCGCCGACGCCGACGCCGACGCCGACGCCGACGACGACGATTCCGGCGCCAACGATGACGGCGTCGCTGACAACGACGACGACGACGCCGACGACCGAGGACACGCCGAGG